CCTGCTGAACAAACGCAGATGTGGGAACCTTCATATGCATGGAACCCACACTGTGTCTGGCCCTCCGCCACTGCTGTTTGTCCTGGAGACCTGACCCCAAGTGTCCAGCCCACACACGCCCCCTCCCATTCACCCTCGTACCTCCTGTGAGCGGGTTAAACTGTACAGAACTCTCCAACCCCCTTTCATCCTATTCCCTTGAGACATGGACCAGAGCCTACACATCCCCCAAGCCCCTCCATGGCCACCAAGAGAGCCATTCAGCCTCTCTGCCATCATTAGCAGGCCCCATGGCCGCAGTACCATGGGCTAAGAAGAGGATTCTGCGAAGGACAGGGCCCTGGCATCACCTCCATCACATCTCCTCCTTTCCTCCTGGATGTGAGCATCCTTTCCCCCAGCCCCTTCCATGCCCAATCTCAATGAAGACAGTCTAAACAAGAAGCCTGTCTGACTCACAGTGAACCCCCTCGTCTGGGACAACCCATTCCCGGGGCCGGGCTCTGCCATCGTTGGCCCCAGGGCACTGATCCCCTGACTGAAGCTGGGCCAGATTCTCCTGCCCAGAAATGGCACACTGGAACCAGAGGCTTGGAGACTAGGAACGTTTGGTTCTGAGCCACCACCAGGTGAATGGCCACCCCAGAGGGCAGGACCCTGAGCTCCTGGGCTGGGACCCCAAGCCTTCTCTGATTTCCACCCAGCCCAAGTGTGGCAACTGGAGATTCTTCCTTTAAGTCAGTTCTCTGAGCCACTCTGAGGTCCTTCCAATGCATTCCTTTTTTTCCCCTTTAAACCAGCCAACTCGCATTTCATTGTTTGCATTCAATGGAAACAACCAACAGCCCAGAGCTCAAACAGGACTTGGACCCAAAAGTTAAATCAGAGATGAAGAGTGTTTTTACCCACATTTGTCCACTGCCCTGTTTCTCTTGGGAGGCTCTTTGGGTGCCCTGGAGCTAGGATTGGTCAGGTCATTAGACACACTGCTCCCCCTCCAAGTTTCCAGGGAAACAGCTTACCCCCGGGGTCCTGGAGAAAGCCCGGGACACGCCAGTCCCCTTCGGGTGAGCGCATTGATTTCAGGATGACTTCTTGCCTTGATGGGTCTCCTTTCTAGATGCTGCCCTCCCCCCTGCCCAGACTCAGGGGCCCTCAAGGCTGCAGCTTGCGTGCCATTGACGTCACTCAGCTTCCCCAACAAGTCAGCCTGACTCACAACCAGGACAGAAGAGACAAACTTTATTTCTGTTAAGAAGACCCGCACTTTGGTATTTAGCATAACTAAAGGGCTAACTGTGAGGCGTTGCTACCATGCTGCTAACGACCCCATTTCCCACGTCCTGAGCCAGCCTCTTCACTCATCCACAGCCGCCTCCTGGTCTGTCTTCTCTTCCTTAACTTCTCTTCCATCTTTCAGATTTTGGCGAGCAAACTCCTCAAAAACCAAATTTTCATCCTGAACACTAAAATAAAACAAAGAACACTTTGATCATGGCATGTTCTTTGAAGCTTTCAATGAGATCTTGAGGAAAACAAGATCCTTGATCTCCCTTTTGCAACACAGGAACCGATCAAGATTTTCCTACGTGATGGAACACGGGACAATGCCGTTCTCCTCATAGTTTTTCAAGTAAAATCTCTTTAACAAACAAAAATCAGAGAAAATGAAGGAACCCACAGAGTAGACATACATGCCCGGAATAACTGTGTGTGTGTATGTGAATGTGTGCACGTGTATGCATGTGTGTGCGCGTGTATGCGTATGTGTGCGTGTGTGTACATGTGTGTATGCATGTGTGCATGTCCTGGTACTAGAGAGCAAAAGAAAAGCCAGGCCCTGCGCCGGCATCGAGAGCATGGGGCGTGTATGGAAAGACCCAAAATGGGGTTTGCGCTTGTCTTGTGCAGATCTCAGCCTATCAATAACCACTGTTGTGGCTGGACTGGCCCTCGTGGTTCCTGTTACGGCTGCAAGATGCCCTTCAGCAATAACGATCCGGAAACTTTTAGAAAATAAAGGTTTATTACTTACAGGACCTGGAAATTACACAGCATATACCTGGGGCCACACAGCGAGGTCGTGGGTAGGGAGGGAGAGCACACCGCACAGGCCTGGGGTTCTGCCTTTACGGGGGTTGGAGGTGGGGGCCTAGGGTTTCGAGGGCTCACTCTTTATTGGTGAATTTAAAACAAAAGAGCGGGAATTTAAAGTGCAGAAAGACAAAAAACAAGTGGCTCAAATGATCTGCTATTGAAATCAACCAAACTCTAAAACAAAGGAGAGGGAGAGCCGGCCCGAGTCGAGTCCGGTGGCTGGCAATGTGTTTATTCGAGTGGATGCCCCTTTGAAGAGGATGCCTCGGTAATCAAAGCTTAAGTCAGGCACTTGCATTACAAAAAAAGAAAAAACGAAAACAACTGTGAGGGGTCACATTAGGGCTGTGGAGAAGGAGGTCACAGAACGGGATGACACCAAGCAGGGCTCACCTTTTCTTGGTCTTATCTGTGAGCATGGAAGAAAGGAGAGAGAGGTCTATTAGCATAAGTCCTGTCTACCGGAAATTTTCTTCCTTTGTTAGGTCACTTTATAGGTGGAGGAATAAAAGGCCTAGATATATGCATTTCATGAGAATGGCATGTAATTCCTGTTTCTTTGCCATTTCCCGCTCGGAGGGCCTTTCTCCCTGCATTTTTAACCATCTCTTCCTCTAAAAGTTGCCGCCACAACCTTCACCTCCCCAGACGGAATCAGCCACAACCTCGCCTCTAGGACCCTTTCCCTGATTAGCCTCAGCCCCTCTGATGTTGTGCTTCTCCTTTCTAAGCCTTTCTCCCTATGTGCCCTTTGGACCCTGTCCAGATCAGAGTCCCCAGGAGCTGTTACGACCCAGACTTCCACGGTCTGGCTCTCCAGGGGTGAGTCCTGGGACTTGACATTGAACTAGTACTCCAGTGGCTGGGGGAAGGGGGTGACTAAAGCTTGAGAACCACTCCCTGGCCCCTCAGGGAGTTTGATTTCTCTCTTAACACATTGATCTTGGGGTGGGGGGTGGGGGCGGGGAGTGGGTTAGATTTTCACATATATTTTGCAGACCCAGGGTTATTGCTAATTCTTTGTGAGGTTTTCTGCATTTTGTTTTTGTTTTTTAAAATTATTTTTTCTCATTTATTTATTTGGCAGTGTTGGGTCTTTGTTGCTACACACGGGGCTTTCTCTAGTTGCAGCGAGCAGGGGCTACTCTTCGTCGTGAGGCATGGGCTTCTCATTACGGTGGCTTCTCTTGTTGCGGAGCACGGGCTCTAGAGCGCAGGCTCAGTAGTTGTGGCACATGGGCTTAGTTGCTCCGCGGCATGTGGGATCTTCCCGGACCAGGGATCAAACCCGTGTCCCCTGCACTGGCAGGTGGATTCCTAACCACTGCGCCACCAGGGAAGCCCCTTGTTTTTGTTTTTGTTTTTGTTTTTAGCTTTCTGCTGCCCACCTAGTAAAGTCCTAGTGTAATTGCCTTACCACCCACCATGGTGAGCCAGGAAGAGCTAAGTGAGGCTACACAGCTCCAGAGGGTTTGGGGGAGCTTGTGGTGGGGCTGAGCCACTGCCCTTATCTCTTGTGCCTGTCTGGAAGGCAGTACCAGGAGGGAAGTGTCTGTGTGGGCTGCTAACCACAGGGGACCTACAGAGAGGCTGACTCATCAAAATGACCCTGGGCAAGAACCATGCTGGACCACCCCGCCCACCCTTGTATGTAATAAGTTCTGGTAGCATTTCTCCAGAACTTATTACATACAAATTACTTGGCCCCTGGCCCTGGCAGGGTTTCTTAACTCCAACTTATGCTTTCTCTGCTTAGCATCTACCCATCTCAACTCGGGGCGCCAGCGACCAGGCGGGTAAGATGTGAGCATGCATCTGTGAATGAAACTTGGGACTCATAAACCTCTGGAAATCAAAATTTCAAGGCCATGGGGTGATTTGTCCTTTCTCCCCAAAATCTCACAGTATAAAAGATCATTGGTTTAGCCTTGATGTTATGATATGTTCAATGTGAGGGCCATAATGACTAGAACATGAAAATGTCATACCCAGAAAAGGACTAACTCCACTTCCCCCAAGTGAAGTCATAAAGTCTGTTCACAGGGCCAGAAAATGATCTGACACAAACTATGACATCTCCTCCGGTCATAGTTTTAAAATAGCCTTTTAGAATGTCCTTGAAAGGGACCAGAATGTGTCTCAATCTCACATAGTTAAAAATAGTATTTTAATGATACAAGCATAAATGAATAAAAAAAATATGGTTAGACTGTATTTTTCCCCCAAGGGAAGTTTTTGTCAAACTTCCAAAAGTTTTGAGTATTTGAATCTAAAATATTTGGAAGAGATCCTTTGAGACAAAATAGTTTTGAGACAAAGCCAAAATGAATATGGGGCTCATTTTAATGTTTAAATGCCATTTCATTATCAACATAGAAAAGCTCTTTATAAAATATAAGAAAAAAAACCCTGCTTGTTTATACCACTTTTACTTAAAATGTTCTTAATTATTATAACTTGGGAGGGTTCTCATCCAGACCGGTCCATTTTTCTTTCCTGCCAACTAAGGCACCTTAACACACGGCGGAGAATTTTTCCTCAGAATTTCTGAGATTTCACCTACATTATTTTTGCCGCTTCATTTATCCCTTTTAAAAGAGCTGTATTAAGATCTAATTCACATATCATACAATTTACCTATTTACATGCACAGGCCCATGGGTTTTAGTTTGCTCACAGAGCTGTACAACCATTACTTAATTTACTTTTAACATCCATACAAGAGCCAACGGATTTACAATTCAAAGGAGCCAAGGTATTAGGAACCCAGCCTGACCCTCTTTTCTAGTATTTTCTGTATTCTCATCATAACTGCCATTGTCAGAAATACTCATCATCTTCTAAATTCCTGTTAATGCTTTCAAAAGAAATGCAAAAGCCTCAGGCTGTCAAATTTTCTTTTTTTTTTTTTTTTTTTGTCAAATTTACTTTTCACTCAAATTTTATTTAAATCTAAATCCAGGTCTGGGGACTTCCCTGGGGGTCCAGCGGTTAAGACTCCGCACTCCCAAAGCAGGTGGCCCGGGTTCGATCACCTGGTCAGGGAACTAGACCCCGCATGCATGCCGCAACTAAAAGGTCCCACATGCCGCAGCGAAGACCAGGCGCGGCCAAATAAATAAATTTTTTTTTAAAAAAGAGAGAGTAGATCCTAAGACTTCTCATCACAAGGACAAAAACACTAAAAAAAAAAAAAAAAAAGAATCCATGTCTGCCGCAACTAAAAGGTCCCACATGCCGCAGCGAAGACCAGGCGCGGCCAAATAAATAAATTTTTTTTTAAAAAAGAGAGAGTAGATCCTAAGACTTCTCATCACAAGGACAAAAACAACTAAAAAAAAAAAAAAAAAGAATCCATGTCTGTTCACAGCAAAGCTTCTGCTCTTAAATCATTCCTGATAAAACCAAACGAGACAACCCGCACCCAAGCAGGGATGCTACGTCCTCCTCACACTCACTGGAAGTGGACAAGCCACCTGGCCCATGACCTAGTAGCCGAGCACTCATTTCTGGGAGGGGGGGCCCAGGCACTTGAAGGTGGCCTGGAACCTCGGCCACCTGGCCCTGCCTGTGCTCAGAGATGTGGTCAAAGAAGACTAGCAGTGAGTACATAATAAATCTGTGAGTGGTAAAGCACTAGAGAAAGGCAAGATAACGCGAGACTGACCTGGGTCCTCAGACTGGGGGTGCATGAGGCGGAATGGCACGTCAGCGGCCACTTCACTAGAAAGAAAGAAGGACGCAGAGCGGTGAGAACATGCACACAATTGTAAATGCACAGCCAAGAGCTGGGAGCTGGGGTTGCAGAGCTTCGTGAAAGATCCCCAGGCCCCAGCTGAAAGAGGACTCAGTGAGTCAAAACAAAACAAACCAGAAATCAGGAAGTGGTCAAGAAGGAATTTTAAATGTATTCCCTGGAATGTGGTCTAGAAACTCCACTTGCGAGAGGCTGAGGCAGCTAGGATTTTTAGGTCCCCCTTCCTCCTGGTTATTAGTTTCAGGGACATGATATTATGGATAGAGAAGAGGTGAAATCCTGGAGAATAAGGATAGTTTTAAAAAATATCCTTTGCAAAAATGTAACTACTTTTTACGTGTTAAATCTGTGCTAACGCCGCACACAGTCCCTCTGCAGAGAGCAGAACAGGAATGAGCAGGGTCTACCCAACTCCAGAGGCTAAAGGGCTTCGAGGCGACTTGGAATTTATATTAAAAAAGGAAGGCAACAGGGCTTCCCTGTTGGCGCAGTGGTTAAGAATCCGCCTGCCAATGCAGGGGACACGAGTTCGAGCCCTGGTCTGGGAAGTTCCCACATGCCACGGAGCAACTAAGCCTGTGTGCCACAACTACTGAAGCCCACACGCCTAGAGCTGGTGCTCTGCAACAAGAGAAGTCACCGCAGTGAGAAGCCCATGCACTGCAACAAAGACCCAGTACAGCCGAAAATAAATAAATAAATAAATAAAGTAATTAATTTTAAAAAAAGGAAGGCAAGGAGTCAGGAAGGGGTAGAAGGGAAATCTAGGCACAGGAAGAATGGAAAGGGGTGTGGGAAACAAGGGTTACTCCTTGTTTCACCCAGGACCCATCACCTCCCGCCCTGGGGTTACTGCTTCGGTCAAAGCATTTCTGCTGCTAAGGCGCTCCTGGTGGACCCGAATGTGGCCGGGGTCTGGGAGAGAAGGCACAGCCTGGGCTCCATGTGAGGGGAGGTGATAAGAGTCGGTGAAGGAATATGTAAGGTCAGTGCCTGCCTCAGACTTGTCTTACCTGCTGCCTCTTTGTGCATGATTTAAATGGCTGCTGTCACTAATCACAATCGCCCACAGGTGGAAACAACCCAAATGTCCACCAACCAAAACGTGGTCCATTCATACCATGGAGTATTTCTCGGCCATAAGAAGGAATGAAGTGCTGACACGTGCTACAACATGGACCTTGCAGACATGATGTCAAGGGAAGAAGCCAGCCACAAAAGGACAAATATTGCCTGATTCCATTCATATAACATGTCCAGATTAGGCAAATCTACAGAGCTAGAAAGCAGATTAGTGGTTGCCAGGGATGAGGGAGAGGGGAGAATGGGAGAGACAGCATAATAGGTAAGGGGTTTCCTTTTGGGATGGGAAAAGTGTACAGGAGCTAGAGAGTGGTGACAGTGGCACAACACTGTGAATGTCCCTGATGCCACTGAACTGTACACTTTTAAAAGGGTAAAATGGTAAACTTCACGTTATGTATATTTTACCCCCCCCCACACACACACACGGGCAGCTGCAAGGAGTGTGCCAGTTTTCTGAGTGTGTGTGTATGTGCGTGTCCTCGCCCAGGTGCAGGCCCAGCTATGGTCTCAGAGGAACATCCCCAACCTCACACCTATCAGCCAAGGTCTGCAGGGTGTTAGGGGCATCATCCCCTAAGACCTCTGAGCATGACAGCCGGGAAACCAGACTTCACTGTAACTGTTTTGAAGCCCCGGTTTGTCCCCTTTGATATCTTGGAATCAAGCAGAGAATCAAGCAGAGAAGGAAGATGAAGGGGTTTACCTGGAGGTGAGGTCTCCCAGAAGGCTAGGAAACACAAAAGCAAACAGGGCTGTGGTGACTCTCCACAGTGGTAACACAACCTTACTTGCCGTTATTCAGAGGCTGGACACGTCCCCACCGTGTTCCTCACTCACAACTTTCAGGATCTTCGCACCCCTAACAGCCAACACAGCTATTCCTCTCTACTTGCGATTTCATCTCTTTCTCAAGTGGGTTAGTTAAAAAGAGGAATTACGTAGGTTCAAGCCCTAATGTTCAAGAATAAACCTCGGTCCAGAATTTCTCTCTGGGCCACAAAGGTCACTGTGAACTACCTGCTGATCACTTACCTTGACTGCTACACTCGACCCTGTTTTAGATCCTCTCAGAGAAGATGAAAGAAAACACTATACACTTTGAGAAACACAGCTACACACACTGTGTTAACGAAATCTGCAGAATCAACCCACATTCTACTTTGTTGCCCCAACCAAAATTTGGGGAACTCTTCACCTACTGAGCCCTATGGAATATACACGTGGATTTGCTTCGATGGCTGAACTACCGAAGGCTGATCAAGGTAAAAGGCCAGAGCCTCTGGCAATGGAATTTGAAAAGGAAAATGAGAAGTCGAGTTTTTCCCTTCTGATAAGATTTTTAAATGGAAAGGAATTGATTTCAAAAAAAGATGGGAAACCATTTCCTCAGAACTCTGAGACAGTCATGCTCTTGTATGAAAAGGAGACTCCCCAGTCCTGTGATTGCTCGTTGGGGAGGAAAGGCAGGCCCTTTCCATCATGGATGGATGCCTCCTGAGAGGCAGGTGAACCAGGATGCCCTGCAAGTTCATTTCACAGCCGTCAGTCTTTTCCAAAGTACAATCAGACGCTCAACTGATTCTCTTGTTTCATATCAGCTTCCACACGTGAGCACAGGCACACCCATTTTTGCCAAGTGGTACCAATAGTGCACGTGTTTCGTAGTCTGCTTTTCTACCTTTTCCCCCGTAATGTTATATCAGGTAGAATTGTGAAACTAGACAAATAGAGTCTCTCTAAAACTCTGCTATGTAATCGATAGAATTTGTGGACACTTCTTGCTTTCCGTCTCCCAGTAACTCAGGAATGAAACCATTCAGACTACTGATGGCCAAGACAGAGCAGGCAGAGTGCTGGAGCTGGACACTCACCCTGACACCGTGAGCTTCACCTTGATCTGGTAAGACACCAGGATCCCCATGACGGTCTTGTCTATGCCCTCCTTTATGCTGCTCAAACAGAAAAGAAAAACAGAAGAATGCAGGGAGGGGAGAAGCAGGAAGCAAAAACCGGGTGAATCAACCCCACCTCTCCCCACTGCGTCATCCAGGCTCTGCTGTGTCCTCACTGTCTGGGGTGCTGGAAGGCAGCCCTGATGCTGGGTGAAAGGGGGGCTCGGGATTCGGGGTGGGCTTTGCTCTGCCATTAACTGACCCGGTGACCTTGGCTGAAGCTCTCATTCTGGTGGAACCTCAATTTCCTTATCTGTGAAATGAGTATAAATTCACCTTCCTCACAAAAGCATGGAGAGACTGGCATGTTTATAAAATACTCCATGAACCACAAAAGATCTTTACAAACGCAGTGCACCGCTGTGGATGTCGTGATTCCTTTGCCCTCGAGTTCACAGATCTAGGGCATCAATCTCCCTGCTCGGCCCTCTCCCAGAGCATCACAGATGTGCTTTAGAATCTAACACACCAACTGGCAAATCATCCTCAGAAAATCCTTTGACCCCCAAGATCCTGCTTTCTGCCCAATGTTCGCTGACCCCGCTGTTCGTCTCGGAGCTACGGGGTCAGGGAGGGCAAACGCGAGAGCTCTTCCCGATGGCATCACCTGGAGCTGATCGCTGGGGCCTTGAAACACACAGGGGTGGAGGGGGAGATGGCAGCGAAGGCCCCGAGCCTGGGTGGCAGCTCCTACCCCAAACCCTCAGGGCTCACCAGCAGACACACCGCTGGGAATGGAAGCCCCGGAGGATGGTGAGGAATGACAGGGCTATTTGACATAGAAGCTTCGTTCTAGTTTTTACTGGACCTGCTGGCTCAGTTTGGCCACGGTTCTCTGAACGGGGTCAGCATATCAGGGCTTATTTTCATTTCAATTGAACTGACCTCTGTAGCCCTCAGGACCTCCTGTTTTTACCTTTCCTGATGGAAACGCACAAACGACATTTCCATCATTCGTGGAGCCAGCTGGGGCACTCAGTTCATATGCTCAGGGCTCTACACTAGCTAATGATATTTTTGAAGGTAATAGCTGACATTTCTGGAGCACTTACTGTGTGCCAGGCACCACATTTTACATGGACTGTCTCACATAACCCTCAAAACCTCTCTCTGAGGAGCTGTCGCTCCCACACTTTACAGACGGGAAAACTGAGGTTCTCAAGACAGCTCCAGTTATCTGCCCAGGGTGGCCCAGACAGCAAGCAGGGGAGTTGGGGCTCAGCACAAGGCCCAGAGCTGTAGCCACTGTGTCACACCAGGGGGGGGAGTGGGGCCCCTGCTTGGGGCCCCGAGCACGTGCTTTGTCACCAGGCTGCGTGTGCACGCCGTGAGCCCAGGGCTGGGACGAGGAGGGGGCGTAGACCAGTGCCACCGCAGCACTGAGTCTCGGGGCTCACATGGTGCTAGAGGCAAGGTTCGTGTCCTCGTGCTTGATTTTCCCGTCCAGGGCGATGCCCCTTCTCTCGCGGTTGTTAGCCAGCAGGGGCAGCAGTGTCAGTGTCGTGGTCAGGGTGCTGTTTGGCGGCACTTTTTCCCTGCGGGAAGAAACACAGAGAGTAGATTTAGCTGACTGCTCTTACAGCCTCGAAGCCACCTTCGCCCCCACGAGACCCTGTGTGCCATCAAGCATTTTCTAGAACCCACGTTCCCTGCGACTCATGGGAAAGACAGTCCAGGTGCCTGTGCCTTTGCCTTGTGAGAAGAACGGCATTAGTGATGTCTCAAAACAGGCTGGCAGCAACGTTAGAACGTTTCTCAAGTCCCTCAGCCTGTTCTGATTGCTGAATTTCTAGAATGTCTTGTGGGGTGAAGTGAGGCTGGCCCAAGAGTCAGGGACCACACCCAGTCTCCTCCTGAGGCTTCGTGAACCACGCAGTGGGCTGCAGGGCCAACTGGCCAGTGCCAGCAACAAGCCCAGGCTGGGAGTCATCACTGTTGGGAGGTTTCAGCGTGTGCCCGGGGAGGAGGGGCGCGAGAAGGGCCGGGTCCTCCACTGTGGGCTGTTCAGACTGGGCGGCTCTGTGGGCCTGGGTGCAGCGGGGGGCAGAGCAGCACTGTCTCCCCAGGCCGGGCAGCATCCCGGCTCACCGAACAGCATCTGAGGCTGGAGAGTTGGCTCCGCCACTCACCCACGTGCTGACCCCTGGCCTGTGCCAACAGCCGCCATGCAGCCGCCTGCCCGCTCCGACCCCAGAGCCCAGGCAAGCCGTGTCCGTGCTCCTGGCACACCCTCTGTCCTTGTGCCCAGCCAGGAGAAGGCAGGGCCCTGAAAACACTGTCCAGGAACCAGCCTCGGGCCCTTTCCCCAGCCTGCTCTGTAACAGACGGGGAGTCCCACTGCCACCCTCGGAATGGGTCCCCTCCTCCATCTCCCTGGGGAGTTGAAGGTGGCTGTGTCTTCTCTGGCCTCCAAGTGCACACAGGAGGCTCCTGGGCATGCCATTTACAGAACACTGCTTGAGCCCAAGGTGGCCCACATCCCTGCATCTGGGCCCTGGTAGAAATTCTCTTAATGAGCTTAGTTTGGGCAGCAGAGTGACAAAAGCAGAAATTACACTGGAAAGGTAGTTGTAGTAGGAAGGGGCCCCCGGGTTGCGGCTTGGACGATGGCCTTTCCTGCAGCAGCCCTTGCCGAAGGCCTATGCCAAGGCCTGGGGCCAAAGTCCCGCCCGGCCACTTCCCAGCGCCTTTGGGATTGGGATTGGATGGTGGGCAGCAGCTTGGGTGTCAGGTCTGACCTGGTTCCCAGGAGGCCTGCCCACCAGGGGCCCAGAAGCCCCACTTTCAATCTCCCTGCCTCCCACCCTTTTGAGTGTATCGGAGGATGGTTCCCAGTTTTCTGGGAGTCCTTGATGCAAAATGTGTCCAAGAGCCGTAAAGAGGCCCAGGTAATGGGGTATATTAGGGGAAAACTCAGCTGGGGACCAGTTTCTCCTATCATTGTTGGGCACGTGCCAAAAGGTAAGCCAGGAAGACACGCAGGACACAAGGATGTTCAAGGACACAGCCTAAAAGGTAGAGCAGCCCCCAGGCCTGGCCCCAAGGAGACAGTCAGTGCGTTATGGTTCTTTCCTTCCTCTCTCCTCTCTAGACCTATAAGTAAACTTAGGTCAGGATCTGCTTTAAGTAACAGTTTATCCTGAAGTCGCCTTTTAAATATCATGCAATGTTATCTTGCTGAATCAGCTGTCTTTCCTCACCCTGCTCCCCGAACCCTCCTTCCTCTAACCGTGATAATATTTTTTGCATACAACAATGCTTAGATAAAACACCTTCCCAAGCAATCCTCTCTGGGAGAAGGCGTAACCCCCAGAAGCCTGTGTGCCTCATGAACCTGACTGCCTAGCACAAAGCAAAACTGGTTAGATCTCTCACTCCCCCATGAAGCAGCCATCACAGGATTCCCATCTGTTTTTAATATCTTTTTTTTTTTTAATTTATTTGGCTGTGCTGGGACTTAGTTGCGGCATGCAGGATCTTTAGTTGCAGCACGTGAACTATTAGTTGCAGCATACGGGATCTAGTTCCCTGACCAGGGATCAAACCCGGGCCCCCTGCACTGGGAGCACGGAGTCTTAGCCACCAGACCACCTGGGAAATCCTCCCATTTATTTTTTATTCTAATGAAGGGAGAAAAGTCACTAACAACAAGTGGCTGAGAACTGATATAGCATCCTAATCTAGTTGTCACTGGTATCAGATTTTCAAGTTATAGAGAAGATCAAAAGATAGGGAACCCTTGACTGGGCTGACAGGTCATTTGATTTTATGCTGTGGGGGCAGAAACAGTATCAAATTCCTACGCACTTATTCAAGGATCAATAGAAAGTTCTAGGCATGCCCACTGTGATGTTTCAGCCTTTATTTCTCTCCTCTCCATCATTCCTTAGCTTGACCCAGCTCTCGGAATTCTTGTTAGTGAGCACAGGATCAAGATGCTAACTTTCTTTGCAGTCCTTGAAGTGAGAACAGGGGAAGGAAGTGGAAAGCTGGGGAGCTAGCTGGCCATTCTACTTCCGTCTTCAGCGATGACCAAAATGGGAACTTGACAAAGAAGCTGGAGCTGCCCAGGAAATAGAAACCCAACCCACTACTCACTGTGTTTCCTCCATGGCCACCGGCTTGATGTAATAATCACTCGAGTAGAGAACCACGTTGGCCACTTGTTCCACTGCAAAGGGGGGACAGGGTAGGGTGACTTGGTGCGGAGTCCTGCGTGGTGCCTTCCAGGGGACATGGTTGGTCTTCCCTAATGGCCATTTCAGTGCACCTCTCAGGCTCGGCTTTAAGGCTGAGATTTCTGTTCTGTCCTCAGGCCACTTCCATTCACCAATAACCTGCTCTGTGTCAACCCTACCCATGAGCCAGTCTCCTAAAACTGCACCTCCTGGGAGCCTCATCCTCCCTGCTGAGCTCAGGGCACATCCGTGGGTATCCTTCCAAAACACACAATCTCCCGGTGTCCCAAAACTCACCATGTGCTCTCTTTCCCCAAATACACTCCGTTCCAACCTTCTCTATCTTATTCAATGAGCATCTCCTTCAGGTGTCCAAGCTAGAAACCACCTGGAGGCAGCACAGGGTTGATTTGTGGGTGTAGCATGGTGGATAGGAAGGTGGGCTCTGGGGCCAGACCACTTGGGTTCACATCCCAGCTTAGCCATCTGCTGTGGGGTAATTACTGAGCTCCTCTAAGCCTCAATTTCCCCATCAGCAAAATGAGAATGATAATTGCATCTAACTTACATGGTTGTTGTGATGATTAAAAAGATGATTTTTAATCTCCATTAAAATCAAATTTGAGAATCAGAAAAACAATTTGTGTGAAGCACTCAGCACGGTACTCGGCCTACAGAAAGTTCTTAACATCTTGCTTCAGAAATTCAACAGCTTCTTTCAAAAATTAGGGGCTTCGATGTCAGGATTCATAAAACTTTGAGAAATAATTTAAAATCTAAGTATCAAATGATACTTTCTCAATCCTGCTGCTTTGTGGAATACTGTATTGACACTACATACAACATGCTAAACAAATGATGCCAGGTCCTACGAAGACTTAAAGGCCTAGGAACTAAGCCAACATAAAAACAAAGCCATAAAGTAAGCATGTATATTAGCATCAAGAAAAATCTAGACATTATTAGTATGTATGCATCCAATTCCTGAGTCTTCTCTATGATGGATAAGAGGTAAAGAGGAACGTGGTATATGGCACTTAGAGGGACCAACCATCCTGGTCTGCCTGGGACTGGCCCCATTTTAGCATTGAAAGTCCTGCGTCCTTGGTCCTGGTCAACCCAGGATGGTTGGTCACCCTAACACACTGTGAGTCTAACTCTGTCTCAGCCATCGAGTGTCTGAGGGAGAAGCGAACAGAGAGGTCTCCCTCCAAGGTCATTTTATTGTGTCTTTTTTACATCACCCATATAAGACCAAGATCGAGGAGCATCCCGTGCACTTTGACGCCCTTTGAGCTGAGGAAGTGTGTAGGACCAGCAAGCAGGAGGCGCATCTCCTGAGTATTCAGGAGGCTTGGCCATCCCATCGTGGTGACTCAACAGTAGCAGTGACAGTAGGGATTACCACTTACAAAGCATGTCCAGTGTGATCAATCAGTACCTAACGAAACCTGGGAAGGTAGTCCGGGAACGCTGCCGTGGCTGCCCGCTAAATTCCAAGAGGACGTGCACAGCTCGAGCCCACAGGGGAGCCCAGAGTTCCCAGGCCAGGGCTCCCCACTACACTGTGCAGGAAGAAAACTCCTCCCGCACTTACCCCGAGACCTGGCACGGGGGCCCCTCAAGGAAGGCATGACAAGGAAGGACGGGAAGATGCCCCGTCGGGGATGCTGCCCCAGGACAGAAGACAACCCTAAGCTGGGCACGAGGCTGCAGGAGAGGACACCTTCCTCCTCTAAGGTCCTGCCGTGTGACGGCAGAGACGAACGGGCAGTTCCAAGGCTCCGGGGGGCCTTACTGACCAGAGGAGAGACCCTTGGGAAATATGACTAGATTGGGAACCTGGAAGACTCTGCCGTCCAGGTTCGAGCAGAAGGTCCTACCTAGCACTTTAATCTTCCTCACCGTCTTCTCTGTGTTATTGGTCACGGTCACAGTCACGGGAATGGGCTCCCCATGGTAATAGACCTGCAGAAGTCAGCACATAGGTCAGAAAAGGGGAAGAGAGTGTGGCCATATCTTGTTAAATTCATCTCAGTCCTTTAACTGGAATAAAAGTGGCTGAATGCCCACACTTTCAAGGAAGACAGGGTGATGGCATCACAGTTCCTGTGGAGAAGGGTCTGGAGAAGGTTCTACCCCATCTGTGGGAGGCTGAGGCGGATGATGGGGGGCTCCGGCCCCAGCGCCCGAGTCCTGAGAGTCACACAGAGTTAGCCCCGGGGGTCTTGAGTGGAATCATGAGGTTATTGGGGGCAGAATAAGTGAAATGAGGGGAAATCAGTGGAAGCCCAGAGGCAGAGCTCGCCCAGCAGTGACTCTGTGATCTAGCCCAGGTGCTCATGTCCTTGCGTGTGTGTGCACACACACACACACACACACACACACACACACAGAGTCTGCTGGCAATGTGTGTGCACGACTCTTGTCGACCGGAGGGACCAGAGATGGCCTTGGCCAGTTTCATCTTTTTCGGCCGTGATCTTCACACATGACATGCTCACCCCCTCACCGTTACTGCCAAACTTAAGTTTGCAGGGAAGCAAACAATTTGTTAACACCACACCCACTGATGACACACTAGTAAAGAGGCCCCTGGGGGCAGACAGGGGGCAAAGACAGCCTGGGCTGGGGGTATGGGAAACCCCCCACCTCCAAGTTGTCGGGACCCACAGTGAGTGGAATGCAAGCCAGTTTGGTCCTATCCTAAGGGTCACGTTTACCGGCTCCAAATTATGAAAAAAGCCAGTTGTCCCCAAATGTTGGTGCTTTAACTATCGCTGCCCCCAAGACTGCCTGCAGCACACCCCCAGCAGAGGGTCTGGCAGGCTGTCCCCAGGCCGGCTCCACAGTCACCTCTTTGCTGAGGGAGACGGCGAGGTGCAGGGGCTTGTCGGACATGAAGAACTGCCAGGAGGCCTCCGTTTGCGGCTGGGGACCCATCTCTTGTGGAGCATGCTGTACCTTCCGGATCAGCAAACGCACGGAGCTCCTGTGGATAAAAAGTCACCGATGGTTCCCCGGATGAGAGCCTGGGCCTCCTCAGGACGGCCTACCAGGTCCCCCTGCCCATCCCCAGGCTGGGATCCCTCAGGGATGCTGCCGATGGATGCAGGATGGGCCAGTACAGGAATCAGGTCTGGGGGGCGGGGCCTGGTGGGTGGTGTGGACCAGTCAGCTCTCCAAGGGTCCCTCTCACCCTCTGTTAGGACCCCGGCGTGGCCTCCTCTCGGGTGAAGCTGATGTGGGGATGTGTGCCTATGTGACAGGCTTCAAAACTCTCTACAGATGTGATGCCCTGTTACTGCTGTTTGGTATAAGTGTCCATAGGTGTGAATGTTGAGCACGTAGAGAAAGTGTTGAGGGCACAACTGGAAACCTTGTTCAGGAACAAGAAAAATGGGCACCAGAGCCTGAGAGTATAGGAGGAATGGAAGTCACTGCCTAATGGGCACAGAGAGTTTCCGTTTGGGGTGACGGCAGCATTTGGGGTATAGATACCTTGGGGTATGGATAGCAGATAGTGGTGTAACTGATTACACAACGTAATGAATGTACTTAATGCCACTGAATTGTACACTTGACAATGGTTAAAATGGTAAACGTCATGTTATGTATATTTTACTGCAACAAAGAAATTACAAAAGAAGAAGAAAACTAAAGAAAGAGGATCTGGAGGCTCTGAAGGGCTTACACGAGCCCTTGACGTTGCCAACTCCCCTGTCGTTTTCTTTTGGTTTTTTCCCCCCAAATGGTCAGCCATTGTCCCCCACCCCATGTGGAGATGGTTCATCCTGACCTGACCTGGGGAGGCTCCATCACCCCGCCACAATGGCCCTGTGGGAAGATTCTGCCACTGAGACATAAAGTGAGGGGCAGTCTCTAATCCCCAGCCCTTCCCCACAGACCCCTCACATATTCCCACAGCTACACTCTTACTTCTTGGGAATTTTGTCCTCTTCCGTATCTGTGGCTTGTGTGGCAAAGGCTTTGACCTCGAAGTCGACCCCACAGCACTGCAGGGGCAAGAGAACAGACAGGGCTGTGGTCAGCACCTCCCTTCCGGGAGCCAGGATGGGGGTCACAGCTCCCACAGGGGATGTTACGTGGCAACTTCTTTTTCTGTCTTGGCCGTATCCTTTTTGGAGTTGCACCATTATGACTAGCTTTGGAAGTGTGCTAGTGATGAAATAGTGGCATTAGCTCGAGGAGAGCGCCAAGGGCTCCAAGGCCCCAGTGAAGGTCCCCCAGCCTGCAGGATGAGCCCCGCCAGTAGCTGCAGAGCACGACTCAGGCATCCTGGCTGGTCCTAGCCTCTCACCACCTTGCACGGCGGCCAGCCCACCCCCCATTTAGTTGTCCTTCTCAGAAGTGACCCTGTGTGCGTGTTACTGATGGTCCACTGCCTACAGCAGGGGCGGGAGCAGTGGTCACAGGGCTGGCAGGGGTCCGTGGACGCCTGTGCTGGGGCTCCAGTGCCCTACTCCAGCGGGCAGCTGCTGTGCAGCTGCAGCCAGGCGTGGCCAGGCTGCCACGGGGACCCGGTGCTGGCAGCTAGCTCTCCCAACTTTTGAAAAGAAGCTGGAAATAGAATTTGGAATGAAGGCTCCTGATTTTTAAATTAACTAGATTAAAACATGTTGCATGGGTGGAACAAATGCCTCTGCCGGCCCCTTCGGCCCCCAGCCCCAGAGTGAATCCCCCGTGACCTCGCTCCTCTGTTGTATTAACACGAGGTGGGCGGGGCGGGGTGAGGGCGCAGAGGCGGGGATGGGCCCTCCACCAGCTGCCCACAGAGTGACAGCAGCGCATAAGCCACAGTCTTACTGGTTCTGCAAAACTGTGGAATCGCAGCAACTCTAAAAGCTGGGTTGAAAATAAATACACATCGTTACGCTCCAGCACCTGGAGCTCTTAGCCACGCCTCCTCTCTGCTCAGCCCCCTCCACCCCCACCTCCTGCTGCCCCCTGCACAAGCCAAGCCCTTCCACCTGTCTACCCTGGGCACGTGCTGGTCCTTCCTTCTTAAATGCTTGACGCCTCTCTCTCCTTTTATACTAGCCCAGCTCACAGGCCTCCTCAGCTGTGAGGCCCCCAGGGCCCCTGCTGCACCGATGTCTCCTCCCAGGCGACAGAGGGAAGGGTGGCCCTCTGGCTGGTATAGTGTCCCCCACTCTGATCGAGTGGCCTTCTCCACCTTCCCGCCCACACCCCTGTTTTCCTGGCCCGGTGGCTTTCAAAGGTTTCAGGCCACTGCCCACGGTAAGAAGGAAAGTTCACTGCGAGGCCCGGTAAACAGACGCTCACGCATGAAGCAATGCTCGTGAACTAGCGCTTATCTGTGCTGTGTGCGATGTGCTCTGAGCTCCCATGCTGTTCCACTTCATGCCATTCCATTTTCTTTCTTCAATGGCATCTCGGATCCACCGCACCGGTTTCACAAACCACTAATGGGGTAGGTCCCCCAAGTCGAAAATCATGGCCCTGGACCCTCGGTAATCCAGGTACCCATCTGCCATTCTCCACCCTCATTTGCTGTCTTTTTATTTTCCAGCTCCTTCCCTCGTGACTCCCTCAGGCTTGTAGTCCCTGGGTCCCAGCACCTTTTCCTCTCTCCTCGTGTCTGCACTGCCCTCCCTCCCTGCCTAGAGTCCCCAGTCCACCAGGGTCACAGCTCTCTTGCACACACGGCCCCTTTGTTTCTCACCTTTCAGAGCTCAACCCCACTCTTAGCTCAGTGGCCAGGGGGACCCAAGTCAGAACCTTCTGTGTGTGGGGGAGGGGGAGGGATAAATCGGGAGATTGGGACTGACATATACACACTACTATATATAAAATAGGTAACTAATAAGGACCTGCTGTACAGCACAGGCAACTCTACTCAGTACTCTGTAATGGATATATGTATATGTATATATGTATATGGAGAACTGATTCACTTTGCAGTACAGCAGAAACTAACATGTTGTAAATCAGTGATATTCCAATAAAAATTAAAAAAAAAAAGAACCTACTGTGCAGAGCCCGCCAGCGGCTCCCATCTCGCTCAGAGAAAGTCCCAGTCCATGCAACGTGTACAAGGCCCTTCCTGACCTGGCCGCACCCCCCGCCCCTCTCAGACCTGCCCCCACCCTTCACCCCAGCCCCGCCTGCTCCCCAAGCAGCACCCACTGTGCATGGTGCGCCCACCCACCTGGATGGCTCTCCCGAAGCTGGAGTGGCCCCTCCTTTGCCCCATCAGAGAGGCCTTCCCTAAGCTCCCCGGACAAGCACCACCAGGTCCTCCCTTAGCTCTCCAAGCCTCTTGTTCTCCATGGATGGGCCGCATAGGGACTTGCTATTTGGTTTTCATCTGTTTCTCTCCCCAAGTGAGACCCACGAGGGGAGAGACCTACTATTTCGCTCACAGGGCTGCTCATGGTTAGGAACTGCTGAAGACAAGTGATACGCTCATTATACTGTCTCTCTACTTTTGCATATGTCTGCAATTTCCCACAGTAAAAGCCCGTGCGCCACAACTACTGAGGCCATGTGCCACAACTACTGAGCCTGTGTGCCACAGCTACTGAAGCCTGTGCGCCTAGATCCCATGCTCCACAACGAGAAGCCACCGCAATGAGAAGCCCGCACACTCCAACGAAGAGTAGCCCCCACTCGCCACGACTAGAGGAAGCCTGTGTGCAGCAACGAAGACCCAACGCAGCCAAAAAAAAGAAAAAGAAAAGAAAAAGTCTTTTGAAGGAATGAATGAATCCCTGGCATTTCTTCAGGAACCAACCTTGTCCACATCTTGTGGAGCTGGCTGCAGCATCACCGAACAGGGCAAGTAGTCAGGAAACTGTGGAAAGAAACAACAGATCATTTCTTTCAGAGAATGTTATTCCACGTGTGTTCTACCTTCATCGCACAAAAATTGAAGAATGGGGGTTTCCCTGGTGGCACAGTGGTTGAGAGTCCGCCTGCCGATGCAGGGGACACGGGTTCGTGCCCTGGTCCAGGAAGATCCCACATGCCGCGGAGCGGCTGGGCCCATGAGCCATGGCCGCTGAGCCTCCGCAACGGGAGAGGCCACAACAGTGAGAGGCCTGCGTACCGCAAAATAAATAAATAAATAAATTTTTAAAAATGGAAGAATGAAGATGAGGAGCAAGAAAAAGGGAAACATCTTCACGTCTGTTCCCAACAGCCGGAGTGGTGTGAACACAGCCTCCCGAGGGTCCCATGTCACCCTCACACAAACACGTATGTGCCTGTGTAGTTTTACAGAAATGAGACAAGTGATGTACGTGTCCTGCAGTCTAGTTTGCTCCCATCACTGCTCCTAACCCTGCTCAGGATGAGTGTGAGTATTTTCATGCTGGGAGATGTAGCTCTGTGCCACCATTTTTAAGGCTCCGGTAACACCGCTTTTTTTTTTTTTTTGGCCCTGCCGCATGGCTTGCCAGGATCTTAGTTCCCCAACCAGGGACTGAACCTGGGCCCTTGGCAGTGAGAGCGCAGAGTCCTAAACACCGGAGCACCAGGGAACTCCCCCGTGACACCACAATGAATTCAGCCCATTTCCTTTGTTGGCTGCCCTCCATCAAGTGGCCTTTACTTTGTTGCCATTGTTACCAAGGCTGCATAAACATCCTTCAGCCACCTTAGCACAGTTTTAGTCCATTCACTCCATAGGCTACACTATTAGAAAGGGAATGGTGAGGTCGAAATCACATTTTTAAGGTTTTGATACATGTTGACATGTTATCTCCAAAAGGTTCTGTCACTTCAAACTCCCAGTCCCAGCACATGGGAGCACCCAGGACCACAAAACTTTAAGTGATGTTTTTTAAAGCTGTTATAAAATATACCTAACATAGGGACTTCCCTGGTGGTCCCGTGGTTAAGACTCCATGCTCCCAATGCAGGGGGCACAGGTTCCATCCCTGGTCAGGGAACTAAGATCCTGCATCCCACATGTTGCATAGCATGGCCAATATATATATACCAAATATTGGCCATTGTTAATAATGCTACAATAAACAGGGGAATGTAAATCTCTTTTTGAGATCCTGTTTTTTTTGTTTTATTTCCATTGGATATATATATATATATATATATATATATATATATATATACCTAAATAAAACTTACTATTTTAAGTGTACAGTTCAGTGGCATTGAGCACATTCCCACTGTCCTGCAATGATCCCCACCACCCACTTCCAGAACTTTTTCATCGTCCCAAACTGAAGCTCTATACCCATTAAACATTAATCCCCCCAATTTCATCCTCTCCCATTCCCTGGAGACCACCAGTCTACTTCCTGTCTCTACGAATTTAACTCCTCTGGGTCCTTATATAAGTGAAATCACAGAGTATTTGTCCTTATGTGGCTGGCTTATTTCACTTAGCATAATGTTTTCAAGGCTCATTCATGTTGTAGCTTGTGTCAGAATTTCCTGCCTTTGTAAGCCTGAACCATATAACTTTGGAGGAATATATAATCTTAAGACCCATAAACATGCGAGTGAAGAGGGTGACAGCAGCTACCCCGACAGTGAGCTCAGGCCCAAGTCTTCAGAGGCAGGAACGCTGGCCCCGTGGTAGCCAGGTTCCTTCAGGGGAGACTCAGGCCACGAGAGGGGTGAAGGGATTTCTCTACAGTGACCCACCGAGCTCTGGTCAAGGCTACATTTCACTAAGATCTCCTGTCTGGCAGGGAACTCTTTCCTGCTTAGAAACTCCTCGAGGCAACCGAGGGGCACTTCTTTCTTTTTATAGCCGAGCAAGTGAAGGCATAACATGCACATATAATTAGGTGGTCGGATGCAGGGAAATATTTAAACCGTAGGTTGAAACGGTGCCTTCAAAGGCCGGGAGGCTGTTTTCAAGGACTTAAAAAAAGACAATCACAGCCCGTGCAATCTAGAATTTCCTCCAAGGGTGCAATTTGCAGGCCCGCAAATGTGATGTCATTACTCTGGCCCCTTGCCTTCGCTGCTGGTCCCATCATAAGGTGCTGTGGGTGAAGGAAGTGCGAGGAAGCGGAGGGTCGAGTCGTCACCCACCTTGAGCAGGAAGGGGTACGTGTGCTCCCCTAGCTTCTTGATCAGGCTCTCCTGTAGCTTCGTGAGGGTTTCCGAGGCCCCCACAGGAGGGAACAGCTGCACCTGGGAGAAATACAGGTCCCTGCGGAACTTCAGGCCGATCACATCGATGTCTTCCTGGCCGTACCGGAAGGCGCAGGTCAGAGAGACGTACACTGGAAGGGAGACACAAGCGGGTAGGCTTGCGCCGTTCGCGGGCTTGGCAGCCCTGCCTGGGCTGACGCTGCCTACCAGTCTCAACATCCCACCTTCAGCATCTCAGTAAGGACCTGAGAACCTTACTACCCAGCTGCCCCTTCCCTCTGGCTTGCGTCAATTACTCGAAAGGGCCCATGTCTGAGTGCTGGGAGGCTCCTCCCGTGAGCCACGTTATTTAGCCTCCTGCCTCTACTGTTTCCCTCGTTCTCCCACCCCCTCCTCTTGATGTACCAGTTCAGTGAGCTCAGGAGGCTTTTTAACAGTGAGAGGTCGCTTGGGTTCTGAGGGTGGAAGGTCTGGATGGAGTTGAGAGTGAAGGTAAGAAGCAGAGGAAGGGCTTCCCTGGTGGTGCAGTGGTTAAGAATCTGCCTGCCAGTGCAGGGGACACAGGTTTGAGCCCTGGTCCGGGAAGATCCCACATGCCGCGGAGCAACTAAGCCCGTGCGCCACAACTACTGGGCCTGCACTCTAGAGCCCATGAGCCACAGCTACTGAAGCCTGTGCACCTAGAGCCTGTGCCCCGAAACAAGAGAAGCCACTGCAGTGAGAAGCCCACGCACTGCAACGAAGAGCAGCCCCCGCTCGTGGCAACTAGAGAGAAAGCCTGTGCGCAGCAACGAAGACCCAACGCAGCCCAAAATAAATAAATAAATTTATTTTAAAAAAAAAGAAAAGCAGAGGGAAACCGTGCTAGGGAACAAAACAGACGAGTGCCTGAGCTGGACGGGGCCTCGAGGGAACTGAGCAGGGGCTCAGGGACCAGGTGGAGAGGTGAAACCAACTCCGAGAGGAAGCCTTCTTTTCACACTGCTCAGAAACTTAACTGAGCTTTCTCTAAATCAATCAGCGCTTCTGAAAATTCACTGTGGTTAAACAGATGTAAATTGTGCCCCCAGTGGACCAAAAGAATTATATGAAACTACACATGTTTTGAGGATGGACTGTTTACAACTGTCCTTAATGTGGTAAATAAAACCATACGAAGTGGTCCCCCCAAGTCCTTGGTAGCTGTTGGTTGAGGATTTTGTGTGTCTGCCTCAAGAGTAATTGCCCCTTGGCGCTAAGCTCAGAAGAGCCACTGATCATTTGCTTATCCCTCATTCAACGTTTGTAAGAGGAAGGTGCCCAGAGATGACCTGGTTTTACGCCTCCCTCTCCAGGCAGCGCGTTCCTGGCCAAGGGCATGGGCTCTGGGGGCTGGAACTGGGCTCCGTCTGGTGTAAGAGAGCAGCAGAGTACCCAGGAGGAAGCTGGAGACAGCAGAGGGGGGCGATTTTCAGCCTGTTTCTGCCACGTCCCCTGGATGCTGTGGGCCCTACATCTGACATACTCCATGGGCACGTCCAGGGTTAGGAACAATTCCTTGTTGGGTGCTGGTAGCTACCACTCTAAAAGGCATATTTAGAATGGAACTGAGTCAGTGACATTATCATAAGGATAACTTGGTTCCAATTTAGTTTACACGACTGGTTTTTGTTTGTTTGTTTTTGACACGCCACATGGCACGGCTCATGGGATTTTAGTTCCCCGACGAGGGATCAAACCCAGGGCCCCAGCAGTGAGAGCACCGAGTCCTAACCACTCTACTGCCAGGGAACTCCCTACACAACTGTTATTAGTACCAAATTGCTTGCCACACATCGCAACTGCCAGATATCTTTGAGGGGGCTGTGCTGCTGTGGTCCAGAACACCAGGCTCACCATAAAAACTCTGCCTTCCCGCAGCCTCAATTCCACGCTTTTCGTATAAACCCAGAAAGGAGCCCTCTTGAGTCTGCCCTGACATAGAACGGCAGGACACGGGGCAAGCACGCAGTCCGTGGAGCCTGCGGATCGGGGCTCCGGGCTCTGTCTGCCGTTCCTTACCCTGCCACCTCGGACAAGTGGCTTCCCCGAGGCTTCACCTCCATCTGGAAGATGCGGACAGTGAGCTCTGGTGGGAACAGGGCCCGTGTCGTGAGGATCGTACAAGGGAATGTGGGTGCAAGGGCCTGGCAGAGAGAATGGGTGTGCCAGAGCTTCCCCGCCCCTCCTTGCACACACATGCCCCCTTCCTGCAGCCAGACCACCGCTCCCCGGAGGACGATGAGCTCTG